CAAGGGTAAATCGTGCCTGACCAACCTGATTGCCTCCTCTGATGCTGTTGGTGAGTGCAGCTGCTGTATGGAGTGGTGAAGAAAAGACAGAGCCACCTCCTCTTGGAGGTGCACAACAACAGGATAAGAGGCAACAGAACCTACTGCAGCATGGGCAATTCACTCTGTATGAGGAGTTTAAAAACAAAAACCAAACAGATTTGATGGTACCAAAACAGTGGAACAGGCTGCCAAAAGATGTTGCGGGTTGTCCGTCCTTGTTTGGAGGTTTTCAGAACCCAACTGGACAAGGTCCTGAGTGACTTGATGTAGTTTGAACCTGTTTTGTGCATCAGTTGGTCTGCATGGCTTCCAGAGGTCCTTCTGATCCCAATTATTTTGTGATTGCTGAGGCTTAAACAGTTCAGTACCCAAGTCATGGTTTCACCAGATTCGCAGTGAATCTTTGTGTGTTTGACAGCTGTTTGTGGACATAACCCCAGAAGTTCAAATGGATTGCTCCCAGAACGTGGGTGACTTTGGTGTTTGTCCTCTGTTGGAAGCAGCTGTGGTAGGTGCTTCTGATACACCTTGACTAGCAAAGAAGAGCGGACTGCCCCAGCACCGAAGATGTGTGGAGATCAGGGGAGGCTGAGCTGCACGTGGACCTTTATAGTGCTCCCATCTGGGCTCAGAGTCTTCCAGAATTCAGTATCCTACAGTGGCAAGTTTGTGGCAGAACGGGCTTTGCTCTGTCAGCAGGGTGAGTGTCATTGCTGGCCTGCATCTGGCCTTTTCCATGGCTTTTGACGTACCCAGACCCGTGTTTTCCTTAGTTCCTTCTGCTGGTGATCCACTTGCTGAATTCATCCTCGTTCCCTGTCACACCCATTGCTGGGTTCAATTCCAGCTGCTCTTTGACTTTCCTAATTTCACGCCTGTATGCCCGGGCACCGTTGTGCTGTTCCTGCTGGGGAGCCCATCCCTGCTTACCCCTCCGTGCGCTCCCTCTTTGCATCCAAGGCCGGTCAGGAATTCCCTGCTCAACCCCATGGCCTCCTGCCAGGCCCGCTCAATTTCGGGCATTTAATCATTCCCCTTTACTTTGAAGAGGTTGTCCTTGAGGTTCAGCCGGCTTCCCTGACCCCTTTGTCCTCCAGGGATCCCCACTGTCCCGTAGGATCCTTCCGGGCAGATCCCAGAGCAAGCCAAAACCGGACTCCTGAAACTATTTCAGATATCCATATAATTCTAAGCTAAGGTTTAACATACATGCTTCTGAAGCTCAGATGATGAAATGCTGCTCCTAGGTACTTTTTGTGGTTTCTTGAAATATATAAAGGCCAGAATGGAGAATTCTGGTCTTGAAATACTCATTACACTGTAATAGTTAGAACTTTAGTAGAAGAGAGAGGAGACTTGCGTGGAGATACGAACTTTTCCGTTAGGGCAAGCCATGCCAGAGGAAGGAATTAGGCAGGCTGCGCAGATCCTTATCACGTAACACCAAGATAACTGGGGTTCAGCTGCCTATGAAGAAAGCTGAGAAATGGACTGTGCACTGCTGGCTGCAGTGTAAGAGCACCTCTGTCTTTTCGAGCTGAGATCTACCAGAAACAAAGAAAATTCTTCACTGTGATGCGATACTGCTGGGGCTCCTCTTTTAATTTTCCTCTCTTGAGGGGAAACCGAGAAAGGGTATGAAATGGGAACATTATCATGCCTCCAAAAGATTATTCCAGTACTGGGGTGAGAAAGCAAAATCCTGTAGGAGCAGCCAAACCTGACCTGTGTGAACCTGTGATCCAGCCCGGTGTCCCGTCCTCGCTGCGGCCTAGAGAAGAGCACAGACACAGGCAAGCGCGGTTCTTCTCCCAGATACCCTCCCAACCTGCAGCCGTTTGCAGTTCAGGGAATTCTGTGCAGTGTTACCGTTGTTGGCTGATTTTATAGTGTTTATGCTTTCTTCAGACTGAACGTTTAACATCCAGTCTGGTTATAGGAATGGAACAGGAAATACCTTTTCACTTTCACGTGTAAAAGTGTGGAATAGAAATATTTATGGAAGATTACTGCTGTTTCTGTGAACTACTTAGAAACTTCATTAGGCCCTGGGTGCAGCACCCTGTGCTTTATCCTGAGAGCTGCAGAGACCAGCTCCCTGCTTCATCGTGTGCCTGGAGTTGATGAGCTGGTTGTGCTGAACTTGGAGTTAACAGACGGAAACTGTGTTCTGGGTCCAGAATTATTACTGGGCTGCAGTACAGCGAGATTGATTTCCTCTGTGTGGAAGGAACCAAGGAACCTTCTCTTCTGCGTGGGACACGGAAAAAGCGTTGGGGTATTTTGTTGTCCCAAAGATTTGTATTCACTGTGGGGAATGAGTACTGCCTGGCTGTCTTTGTTCTGCAAGCTGTCTGGCAACTCCTCGATGTTTCCAGGGCAATGCTTGCTCTTCATGCTTCGCTCCTAAAAATGTTCACGTTCCTTTATTATTCTGCTGATACTGAGACTGTGAAAGAATACAAGCAGTTGAAAATACAGTGGTTCAGCTAAAGCCAAGCAGAGTTTTTCACTCCATGGTTTCTGCTTCTCCAAAGTCCTGCTATAAACAGAGCAGGTGTTCTAGCATCTCAAACAAGTAAGATTGAAGGAGACGTTTATTTGATGGCCTTGATCAGTCTAAATACAGAAGGGAGGAATTGTTCCTCCTCAGACTGGAAAAGAAAGGGATGACGAAAAGCTGTAAAAATGTACGACCAGTATGGAGAAGGTGCATAGGGAGTGCCTGCCCACTGCCGCTCCAGCTGCGTGAGGAGGTGGCGTCCAGTGAAGCTCACACGTGGCAGGTTCAGAGGGAGCAGGAGGAGGTGGGACTTCACACACTGCCTGGCGAGGTTCTCGAACACCAGGTCTCAGGATGCTGTGGGTGACACCAGGTCTCAGGATGCTGTAGGGGACAACAGGCCTCAGGATGCTGTAGGTGACACCAGGTCTCAGGATGCTGTAGGTGACACCAGGTCTCAGGATGCTGTGGGTGACACCGTCCCTCAGGATGCTGTAGGGGACACCGTCCCTCAGGATGCTGTAGGTGACACTGTCCCTCAGCATGCTGTAGGTGACACCAGGCCTCAGGACGCTGATGGGGACACCATCCCTCAGGATGCTGTATGTGACGCCATCCCTCAGGATGCTGTAGGCGACACCGTCCCTCAGGATGCTGTAGGTGACACCAGGCCTCAGGACGCTGTAGGGGACACCATCCCTCAGGATGCTGTAGGTGACACCAGGCCTCAGGACGCTGTAGGGGACACCATCCCTCAGGATGCTGTAGGTGACACCAGGCCTCAGGACGCTGTAGGGGACACCATCCCTCAGGATGCTGTAGGTGACACCAGGCCTCAGGACGCTGTAGGGGACACCATCCCTCAGGATGCTGTATGTGACGCCATCCCTCAGGATGCTGTAGGTGACGCCGTCCCTCAGGATGCTGTAGGGGACGCTGTCCCTCAGGATGCTGTAGGTGACGCCATCCCTCAGGATGCTGTCGGTGACGCCGTCCCTCAGGATGCTGTAGGGGACGCTGTCCCTCAGGATGCTGTAGGTGACGCCATCCCTCAGGATGCTGTCGGTGACGCCGTCCCACAGGATGCTGTAGGTACCAAAGGACAACAACTTTCCCGTGCTGTCAGACGCAATGCTAGGGCAGAGAGACTGCTGGGATGGCCTCATGCAAGAGTTCTTGCGTCCTCACAGAACATAGTGAGCAGGTGTATGCCTGGTGTCTCTCACAAAGGTGTTTGTGTCTTACACCGGCTTCAAACTGTAGACTTCTGATTCTAAAGTGAAACACGAATACCAGCTAGCTTTTCATTCCGATAGAGTAGAAGTATTCTAACAGTTAAATATTTTAGTTATCTAGGTGAAAGCTAGAGTGAATATTGTAGAAATAGACAAGGCAATCCAGTAGATTTATTATAATTACTTACAGTCTCTTTCTTTTATGGTTTGTCTGCATGTGTTATTCCCAATTAAGAGCTGACTTTTTCATATAAGGGTGTACTTGCGCTTTTCTAAGTTCAGATCACTACGTCTTCCTCCTAACCTTCTTCACTCCTCCTCTGGAAAAGGGAAATTAAAAAGGGGGTTTGCTAATAGACCTAATGTTGTTTAGCTAATGTATTAAAATACCAGTAGAAGTTGGCAAGATCACAAGTTGACACCTCATAGCTGCTCACGTTGAAACTTTGATGTGAAGCTTGATTTCACCTCAGCCAAGAAGTTGGGTTGACAAAGGTTGGCTTCCTAAATGCCGGGTTTTATTTACAGTGAGTAACACTTGTTTTTTAAAAAATCACTTTTTTTTAGTTGAACTGGACAAATTTACATACTTTGCCTTGCTGAGAGCGGTGGCTCCCAGCTGCTTGTGGCTAAGCCTCCCTTGAAGAAAAGCAGCCATGGTTGAAGCCTTGTGGATGCAGCTGGGCTCTGCTGGGGTTTGTTTGTGTTCGTTCTGAGCTCCAGCTTTTCCGTCATGCACTCGAATCACTGAGACCTGCCCCACTCATTGGGCCGCTGTCATCGAGTGCTTCTGAGGATGCACTGTGAGGGTTGGGGTGCTCCTGAAGGCTCGCTGTGAGGGTCGGGGTGCTCCTAAGGACTCACTGTGAGGGTTGGGGTGCTCCTGAGGGCTCGCTGTGAGGGTTGGGGGGCTCCTGAGGGCTCGCTGTTAGGGTTGATGTGCTCCTGAGGGCTCGCTGTGAGGGTCAGGGTCCCCCTGAGGGCTCACTGTGAGGGTCAGGGTGCTCCTAAGGACTCACTGTGAGGGTCGAGGTGCTCCTGAGGGGTCACTGTGAGGGTTGGGGTGCTCCTGAGGGCTCACTGTGAGGGTCAGGGTGCTCCTGAGGATGCTCTGTGACGTTCAGGGTGCTCCTGAGGGCCGGGGCGGTGTCAGCGCCGCTGCTGCAGCCCCTCGCAGGCCCTGGCTGCCAGTGCTGGGATGTCCCTTGCTTCCTCCGCAGATCCGGGAGCTGGTTCCTGAGTCCCAGGCCTACATGGACCTGCTGGCCTTCGAACGCAAGCTGGACCAGACCATCATGCGGAAACGCGTGGATATTCAGGAAGCGCTGAAGAGGCCGATGAAGGTATGCCATTGAAGATGTCTGTACTGAGTTAGAGGGAAAAAAATAATCCTTGTGCTGAATGGTGGAATGATCTTTGCAGTAAAAGTGCTGTTAACAGAGAGATTTTGAAACAGGTCAGACAAGGCTCCTAGGAATGAGCCACTGGGGAGCAGCAAGCAGGGAAAAGCGGTGGAGAAAATTCTGTGGATGTTACCCGTTCTAGCTGCTGAAAGCCTTTAATAAGGGCAAAAATAGCTTCTGGATAAATAAACACTGGGTTTGGAACTTTGTACTAGCATGATTAAAAAGAAGAAAATAAGAGATGAGAGGGGTGTGCTCCAGAGATGTATTGAATGTCTTATTAGAATTCAATCAAAAGCTTGACTTGTGGAGTAACACAACATACAACGGGAAGCTTTGCTTATAGAGAAAATGTTAAAGACCCTGCAAAAATGTGCACGTTTCTGTAGTCTTT